GGAGAGTTAGAAGCAGAGTTTACCATGAGTCCAGTCTCCTAACAAACCTCTTTTCCTGCTCAAACCAGCTGATAGACAAATCTGTCCTTTTTTTTCCTCCAAGAAAAGCAGGTTTTGCAAGGAGATGGTACATAGTTACTAATCTTCGTTTTACTTTCATTAAGTGTGTGGAAAAAGCTGGTAAGCTTTTGAACTCGGCATCCCTACAGCTGGTTGCTGAAAAGCTTGCCTGTTTTTTTCCAGTTGTCATTTGGCTTAATAAGATATTGCCTCTCCCTACAAACCTTGTTTCTCTTGCGCAGTGTGGTCATACAGATAATGGCTGTTGTTTATATCCTCACAAATTAATATGAGTGTGATGGCTACCTCTAAGGCTTGAAAGGAGAAAGTAGGAATCAAAGTCACAGGAAGCATTAATTTTTATTGCACTGCCTCTTGCATGTAGAGAAAGCTCTGAAGGTTAGAGAAGTGCCACAGCAAACCTTCCTCCACAGGTAAACGTGAAAACCTGACACCACAAAAATCAGTGCCTAAACAGTTGCCCCTCCTAGAGCACTACATTCTGAGATATATCTTAATTTCAGAAGCTGTCCCTGCCTTATCCAGCAAGACAAACACCACAGCAACTGAGGCTAATGTGTGCGACTGTAGCTGAGGACAGTGCGTCACTGTTCATGCAGAAATCAGAGATGAGCCCAAGTCTCTGCCCCTGGTGGAGCCCTTCATATTATTTTACCCTCACCCCCCCCTTTTCTTTTTTTAAATCACTTAGATTTTTAAAAGACAAAAGGAAGGCACCATGTAAAAACATCACTATGGAAACATCACAGGCTCACTTGTCCTTGCCTGCCAAGCAACTACCTAACTGAAGTTTTACATCCTATTGGATCACTCTTGGCCATCTGCTCTCCTTCAAACTTCTCTGAATTCCATATTTCCCTGAAAAGTTCATTTTTAGAAAGGAGGGAGGAGGAGGCAAAGGGAGAATCCAGTATTCTTGGCTAGTGCAAAGCTATTGTGAAAAAGGAAGATGAACCCCTTTGGGGCAGTCCCTTAAAAAGACAAAGATCCATGTTTTGCAAAGTAATTTCATAGAAAATACCTTGTCTCTAGATGCACTTTAATGATAAGAGTACATATTGGCAGTCACAAAGCAAAACAAACAGCTGCTTCTAGTACTCTTGCACTAATTCTCTTCCTCTCCCCTTCTCTCATTTAGCCTCAAATGTATTTTCTTCTAAAATGTAACAGTCACTGCCTACACTGGAGTTGTTGGCTGCAGGCTCCCGAGCCTTGCTCCAAATAAAACACAGAAATAGATTTCCTGCCAAGCACCGAGAAAGTTTGAAGACTTTAGTTTTTAAAAATATAATCTTTTTATCAGTGCCCTAAGCCTGCCAAAGGTTATTATGGGCCATGGTGCATTTACATTAATGCATAGGACCTACAGACATTTCAAAAGCTTAATGGAGAAATTCCATAAATGTACATATCGAAAAATAAATTAATTAAATTAAACTGTCATGTAAAGAGATCACTTAATTTTGCAGAGCGGAAGGCGCTCTTAATGGGAATGGAATGGATCAGTGAGCATTTCAAAACCCAAAGCTATAATTTAAATTCAGGCTCTCCTCTAATGTGCAAGTCACAAGACGTATTTATTATAGCCTTAGATTGTCAATTGTAATCGGTTTAGCAGAGACAAAGACATGTTGTTTTGCTTCCTGCCCTCCTAGCTAGCTCAATATATTTTGATGTCAAGCTATTGACAAGCAAACCGAAGGCTGAAATAAAATCATGTTTACCTGTGATGAACTGGTAAAAATGCAGTCCAAGGTAAATGTAACCCTGAAGCCTAAGTGTTTATTTATCAAGCAGCAAGGGAAAAACGGTGAAGAATTTAAACTTCTTTAAATAAACCAGTTGAATACTGCTGCTCTTGAGGCCCTGCTATGTGGCAACCTAGAAACAAATAGATAAAAATAGGTAAAAGCACTGTGAAATGAAAAGCGTTATTTATAAGCTGCTGCTCTGACTTTTCCAGGTGTCAGGAACAATTAAAGTTGTTGCTCTTGACACTCTTCCAGGGCTAGAGCCAAAACCTGACACTAGGTCCCCAGCAAACAGACAGCAACACTTCTTCCAGGCTGTGTAACCCAGTTTGCTGCAGGATTTTACTTGGTAGCAGCAGTTACAAACCAAGCCTATGTTTCCACAGCCATGAGCAAGCATCTTCTCACTGAATAAGCTTCCAAGAATGGCTCAGTTCTTTTTCTGACATTCTTCTTTCTGTATTCTCTAATTCTCTTGATTTTTAAGTTCATTTTCTGACCTGGAGCACTGAAACCAGTTGACTCATCAGGTTATAATTGTTGTGGCTGCCTCCTGCCTTCTTCCAGTCCCTGCATTGAGCTTAGTCATGGAGAGGTTTCTCTGAGACTGAACTTAGAACATTCTACCCAGAATCTCTGTAAGTTCTTGTGGAACACTCAGGTTTTTCAATCTGTAACAAACACTGACAAACTCAAAACTCATGGTTAGGAAGAGCTGTGGCACATCAGACTGCGACACCTGCTTGAGGCACATGTCCGAGGGCAGTGGCACAAGACTAGCCTCCGCGGGCTCCTGCTGCCAGAGCTGCTGCTACCGTGGTGGGATGGCCATTTGCAGGCAGGAAGGAGAGCACTGACTGGGGGGAGCGAGGAGGAGACAGCTGCACCCCTGATGGTTGTCAAGACATCATGCCATGGCTCTGATGAGAAGCTTGTGTTCACAAGAAGAGTTGATTTATTTCTTTTATAAAAATATCTGCATTTGTTCTTACTCATATACATAATAGGATTTTCAGGTGAATGGGTTACATTTTTGTTTTCGGGGTAATCTTTCAGCAGTTTGTTCCCTAAGCTAATTATTATACTCAACCCCCCAACCCCCAAAACCCCAAAACCAAAAAAAAACCAACCAAACAACCCCCCCCCAAAAACAAACCCACCAAACAACAAAAAAAACCCCAACCAACCAAATCAAAAAAACCAGTTCTATACATCCAAATTTGCCTCTTAATATTAGACCATTGTGGTTTTTTGCTTACACATTACAGTAAACAGAAGTATCTTTTATGACCTTTCTGTAAAACAACAGCTTTTATCTTGCTATGCTATTCATCTGTCATGCCTCTGTTCCAAGATGCACATTATTGTCTTTGATCACTCTTAAGAGAAATTTTTATTTTTGTCCCCCTCTTCAGTCTCTTCTCATTTTGTGCAAGACTTGAACTGTTCTTTAAGTGACAGGTTACCACTGACTGCTATTACAAAAAAATTCTGTTCCAATTTAAGGGTTGAAAAATTGGACACAGCTTTTAAAGTGTGTTTTGTCCTACTACCAGTAATCTTTCTACTTACCTAAATGGCTCCTACTGTCACACTATCCAAATGCTAACATCCTTCTTTGAAAGAAGGCAGCGGGAAAGATAAGTGTTCTTAGTCCCTCTGAAGAAGAAAAAGTGTTGAGATTTAGGTCCTAGTCCAAAACAGTATGAAGGCTCCAATTCCTACTGTCACTAATGTCAGTAACAAGCCACAAGCCTAATGCCTTCCTTTAATTTGGACTTCAATGACTTGAAGGTATAAGAAATTAGTCCGGTTGAGAACTGAATGCTAGCTTCTATCACAGCCAAATACCACATACTGCAAGCACAGGCATGCCCATATCTTTTCAATAAAGCCATCACAGTCATTAAAAATGGTCTTTTCCTAAATAGTTTTTCCAGCTTAGTTGTCTGGTTCATGAGGCCTTTGGAGCTCTGAAGCAGATGGAATCTACAAACACAGTCATAACTTATTTTGTTTATGGAAAGGGAAAGACTCAAAGAGTGCTGTAAGTAATGGTCAGGAGAATAGGATAGGCTGCTGATGTCAGTTAAAGGGCTTAAGTTAAAGGAATATTATTTTTAAACTCTGAGAATAGCTATTATGGTAAAAACATTTCTTTCCCCATGTCACTTTGTAAACAATAAGTAAATAGACAAAATACAAATTGTAAGTTATCAGGAATAATAATGTGACAAGGTAATGCTTTTAATATTTAAAAAAACCCCAACTTTTGAAAGTATTTATTTGAAATATCTAAAAGGTTTAATTGTATTCACTTCTTATAATAATAAAATTTTAGTCACTCTTTTGCATTTAAAATAAAAGCTAGGGCATTTCTCAAATTTCTGAATAACAGCCAAATAAACTACAAACAGTTTCATGCTTAATATAATTATCCACTAAGAGGTACAAAATCAAGATTGAACCGTACTTATATTCTTAATTCATTAGTGGAACTTGAAGGCCCTCTTCTGGATTATAAATTACTGCACTGCTAAGGAATGTACATGGAAATGACAAAGCCAACCAACACCACGAAAAGATAATAATCTTAAATATTTTTTATTCATGCTATTACCAATTTCCTGGTTTTCATTTGTATCTGCCTGTCTCAATTACTATAATTTAGTAGTGGACAACAGCTTCAACTTCTTAGTGGATTGTTAAAAATAAAGCATTTCTTAAACTAATATTCACAAGCAGAGTGGACAGTCTAAAGAGAGTTGTAGAGAGTTTCTCCACAACTTTGTATGAAGATGCTGTGGAGCCAAGTGATGTTTGCTCACCTTATTAAGCAACAGCACACACAGAGACGTGATCATCCATATGTACCTGTCTGCACAGGTATGTGACTTTCAGAAATCATGTCTGAAAATCTGGCTTGTGCTAGAGGGGGTGTAAAAAACAATGAAGAAACATTTACAATGGTCCTATCTCAAGTCTTCAAGGACTCTGCAATTCCTTTATATGCCTTTTGATTCAATACACACACATGGACTATAAAGGACTTACAAATGTAACCTTCCAAGAGATTTAAAGAGATTTACTTGCCTAAGCAAACATGTGCTGTACAAAATGCCATCATTTTAATGGATCCATCTGTCTGTAAACAACTTGAACCACAAATTTTCCTCTTTCTAAAAAACAGCCATTTATTTTTTTTGGTCATTATGATAGCAAGAAATCACATACATAGAAACACAGGAAGAAGTAGTAAGTATCCTATTAGTAAAAACTCCGTACAGAAAATCAGACATAGTTTGATTGAACTGTACATTTTAAACAAGGACGCTGAAGAAACCTTCACATATAATTTTTTGGTAAGTTTCTTTCTCCCTCCCCAGCGCGGCTACTTACGACGATCCTTTTTCCTTACTTTTGATTTTGGTGCTGCCAAGAAGAAACAGAAAGGGAGAAAAATTATCAGAAGTGAATTACAGTAATACCAGTGCCATTGTTCTTTTAAATTAGGCAGGGATCAAAATGGATACAAAATTAATGTAAAACCTACCATTGGGATTTTCTTGTCTGTAGAAAGCTCTTAACAACTCCACCGCTTCTTCGGCACGATAGCCAGAAGTGCACTGTTCAAATTAGAATGATGTTAGTGAGCATATCTGAGAATAACATATTCCATACTTCACAATAATGCCTCAGGTACACAATAATTTTAAGCAACTGTACCGTCAACTTACAGGTCAGAAAAATCTCCTTTTCAGGTTAAATACCTCATATGTTTGAAAAATATGAAGTTGAGGCTTCGTAGAGTAAATAATTTCCCTAAAACAAACTTTCTTGGTAACTTCTGTAAAATTTTTATGCAACCTACAATTTCTTTCTTACTAATGTATTTCAAACATATACTCCTCAGGCACTTGGAAATAAGAGACATACAGCTAGGTATTTGTAAATGAGATTTCTGCCAGAAAACATTCATCCACACACCTATTCTTTACCAAACAGTCATCTCTCAGACCCTTTTGGTCCTGCCAAAATACTTTTCCAGGCCACAAACAGTAATGACAAAGCATTTGAATGTCATTCACACTAAACAAATCTTCACCGGCACAGAAAGTAATTGGTTACTCCCATAGATTGCACTGCAGTTGCCTACAGAAACAAAGGAAGGATTTGTAGCAGCAAGAACCTTCTCCTTTCTTTCTTCTGAACATATAAAAAAATTAAATACCACATGCCAATGTTAGCAAATGAACACTCTTCCAGTACTGACTATACAAATTAATTCAGATGCTAGTCTCACTAACACCCCGACAGAAAGACGCCTAATACGTGTACACTGGAGTGCCAAACAGTATTGTCTTGCTGAACTAAATTCTTTTGAGCCTTGAGTTTTCAGTGCTTACTTAAAATGCTGAAATATATTACTTGTTTTTACATTCAGTAAATCATAAATATGAAGTGTGGAAAAGAACTCCAAGAACCCTAATCGGTATCATTGTATAAGGCAGGATCATCAACAACTGTAATAAAGATAATGCTATAAATACTCTCTATATGTACGTGTGGGTATATAGGTATAGTAGTACAATGTCGTAAAGCATCTAGATTTATGTATACTATATGTCCACTGAATGCTTGTCCAGCCTTTCCTACATGACAAAGATGCCTCCTTCTTCCCAGACTGTTCCAGTCCTCCAGTATCCTTACTGTTCAGAAAGTTTCCTGATACCTAAACTAAATCTCCTCTGCTACTTGTGCAGTCCAGATTTATTGTGGGATTTAAACTATACGAAGTAAGTCTAAGCTAATGCATTTTATCTCATATACAGACAAACTGTAAGCAAAAACACAATCACTTCCAATGGCTCAGCTAAAAAGAGTAACTTGGTAAGTTGCTGTTACTTGATCTTTATTGATTATGTGTTTATACATTCTGCATTTTAAAACAATTTTCCCTCGTCTCTTCCTGCAGCCTACACTTACTGTTCTAAGTATTACACATATTTTAGATTATTTAATTCTTACCTTGTTCCACGAATATAATTCCCTTCCCCTTTGATACATTCTTTTTAATAATTTAAGACTGTCATCAGGCTTTTCTTTTATTTAGGGACCTAATGTTTTTTACATTATTTTCTTATTAAGTCAAGTTTACTTGACTTTGATCATCTTCCATCTGAGTCCTCTTAACATGACGCATAACATTCTCAAAGCCTGGTTAAGCCAGACACAGCATCCTAGCTGAAAAACAAAAGGAAACATTTCACAGCTTACTTCAAATGGGTCTCCTGTGTCCACCATATCATCAGATGAGATGCTCAAAACTGAGCCACAGCCTCCAAATCGCTCATTTCGACAACCATATACAACCCGTGGAATTTATGGGAATGAGTCAAGGTATTAAGTTAAAGTGAAAAGCAAGTAGGAAGTACAGTAGCCTGATTTAAGTAGTCTTAAATTTCACTAAGATGTGCTTGTACTTTTCAAACTAAATTAGTTTGAGCTGCAATTCTTGCCTCATAAAATCAGAACTTACTTCTGAGTAATGTAAGATATATTGCTGAAGGTGCACATCCAGCCTTCCCCGGAAAAGGAGAAGCATGAATCACAAAGCTGAGGAATAAAAATACACAGTTTACCAATTGTTACATTAAAAACTGAACACTGAACTGAGCATCGCTCATTTTACCTACTAATAGATATCTCTAAAACATATTTTTAATCTCCAAGAGAAACAGCTGTTTGTCGTAATTGCACCATTTCTCTGTCGTTCTTGAGTCTCCCGCTATTCACCATGCAGTAAATGGAGGTGGGTGCAGACCCTCAGACCACCCCTTCTGGCTTTCCCTGACAGCGTCAAGCCCTTCTCTGTGGGCTCACTGCCAAAAGAGTAATGCCTTGACATACGGTTTCCCAGTGTGAATAAGCATGAAAGGATACTCATCAGGCGCACAGCAGCTGCACACATGATACAGGGCTCTACAGTTACATACAATACCAATTGTGGAAACACTTCCGTATAATCTCTGTTGTGTTGCTTGCACCAGTCAAGGACCTGATCGATCGCTACCATTTCTGCATGTCGAGTAGCCTAGGAGATAAAAATAAATCTTTTCTGAAAGTTTGCATTTATTCACTTTTGTTACAGAAGTAATGTAACGCTCTTCGCTGGTTCAAGTTGCAAAAGAAATTTCATGCTGCCCAAACTGCAGAAGAAATACTCAGCCCAAGAAAGAACATACCCAACCTCAACCTCAGTCGCTAGTGTGCAGCACACAAGATCCACAAGGGCAAACCGGTTTTTTCTTCTACCTGTTCCTGGGCAGAGTAACCTGCTCAGAAGTTCTCCTCTCCCAGTCATGTCAGCATAGTAAGCTGAAAGCTCTACTTGAAGCTTAAGGGACATACAAAGCCCACTAGAACACCTGATCTAGTCCACAGTCCACTGTGCTTCCAAGAGCAAGAATGCAGACTGGGTTACTTTCTCTGAAAATGTTAGAAAAGTGCTCCTAGCTGGTACCTTTTCCTCCCTCTGGCAATGTTACTGTGCCCTCACGGATTGAATGCACTGTGAATATGCAATAACTTCAGTATGTTTCTGGAAAAGCTTGGCATGCTGTGTAGACACAGTATTTTCAGTTTGCATCAGGTTTACTGCTGCCTGGGAATACATACAAGAACAGTAAGTCCCTCAAGAGAGGGATTGAGCATATGCCCGATTACAAAAAGGCAGAATAATATTAATTTCTCTTTTTTTAATCCAAGATAACTGAATGATTAGTATCTCAGTACCTATGGTACAAAAACCTAAACAGAAGTGTCGACTTTAATTGCAGAGAGACAAAAACAATTAGTAATCTCCCAGTATCGCTCTGAAATGTCTGCAGCATTGTGTTATGCCAATCAAACATCACAGCAAAAATACCACAAAGTACTAGTTATAAAGGGACTCTCCAGTTACAGAGCCTAATGCTTATTTGAATTAAGACTGCTAGTGTTTTCCTTCTTTTTTCTATTCTGAAAAAAAGGATGTTTTCGACTAATATTTAATCAATCCCAATTATACTTGTACCTCTGCTTCATGTGACCTTAGATAACTTTCCCTCAATACGTGAACTTGGGTTAACATTTTAGCATGTGAATATCTGTAGTGATAACAGTGAGATGCTCTACAATAAATGGCAGAGAACTTGTAACTTATTGCTAAGTTTAATACTGTTTAAAAATGTTTTAAAACTTCTACAGAGATCTATGTTGCCTATGCCTACATTAACAAACAGTGCAGTGCCAAGAGGAGTGTATCTGTACAGCAAAATGTTGCTGAGGACTCAGTACCAATTCAGGGATGTTCACAGTGGCCTACATCCAGTTTAGTCCCATGGACGGTGTATTTGTGGCAACAGCTGGAGTGCATTTGGGATGCTCCCCCAGTGCATCTTCTCAGCATAATTTCATCTGCAAGGAAGACAGCTTGCCATCTCCGAGACACAAACCAAAGCAGGAAGCACAAACGGTAAGCAGACACAATCAAGAAATTTATTCTGGGAGTGCACTTGTAATTTGAACTAACATAGTAATGAACCCACTCAGAGTAAGAACACGGATCTGAATCAATATGCAGACATGATCTTTCTAGACCTACTAGTGAAATGTTGCCATGAAGGTTCCCTAGTTGAATAAATGAGATTGCATCAGCTGGAATCTCAGTGTACACACTTTATGGAGACACAAAGCACAATGCCCTCCAGAAGATACCTCAGAACTACCACTGCTACTGTAACTCAAACATGTAAGTGGTGGCTATTCTATTTTTATGCCCCTCAGATTAAAATAGACATGAACACCACATTGGCTTTTCACCAGATTGGCTTTTCACCTCTGTAAGCAATAAGCCTTCTTTACCAGAGGAAAACATGCCTCTATCCTCAGACACTGCTTTATACTGCATACACCTAGCAGCTTTCAGGCCTCTGCTGATCTTGGGAGCACAAGTTAAGAAAAGCCATGCTGCAGGTCATATCAGCTTCTGCAGTAATACAAGACAGCTCCACAAGAGATTACCCTAATATGGAATATTATTACATCCCACTGCACCTAGATTTTAAGTAATACACCCTGGTTTGGTCATCTGACATCATGAAGACATGGGAACACCAGGACAAATTCACCTCACAGTGAGAAAAGATTATCCAAGTTACAGAACAGTAAAGAGACTGTTCAGAGACTAATTAGACTATTATGGCTCTTAACTCACCAGATACAGTAATTAGTTTTCCAAGTTAAGAGGACTACAGTAGGGGTTTTTAAAAAATCAAGAAGAATGTGGAAAATCACAGTTATAATTGTGATTTATTACTTCTCATAACAAGTGGGCACCCAATGAAATTATCAGGCAGCAGATATAAAACAAACAAAAGGAAGTACTCTTTCACAAAGCGCATAATTAAATTGTGGAACTCGGTGCCACAGGATGCTATGGAAGCCAAAAACATAAATGAGTTCAAGAAAGGTTTAGACAAATTCATGGAGGATATGTGCACAGACAGCTATCAGAAACAATGATCCAGATATAGTCTTGGGCTCTGGAAGTCCCTAACCTATTCACTTTCAGAAGTGGAAAGGATATGCAAGGGGAAGGTTTACACTACTCTCTTCTTGTTTCTTGAGCTCCTTCCTTACATGTTTGTTGAAGATACCCCTTAAAGACAAAATATGGGGAAAAACCACCTTCTAGGTCTGTCTTAAGATTTTATTTTGTATTAAGCTATGACTAGATAGCCTTTTTTATTGACTAAGGAACTAAGACAGAGAGCATTCTACTGGGAAGTGAATGATTGCGTCACACGTGGGAATAAAGATGTCAAAAAAAATGTTTGTAGCTGGGAAGGGTCACATATGCTATAAAGAAGAAAATTTTCAGGATGGTCTGAGGCAAGACTGTGAACAAGCAAGTGTGGGAGCTGCCAGAGGGAACACAGTACTGGCACAAGCTCGTGAATGAATCGCCAGGCTGTTGAAAACCACAGTCTTACACAGGCATTTGTTACACTATTGCCCAATGAAGACAAGTAATGGCATGCCTAAATATTTTGAAATGCTGATGCCACAGCCATGCTCTTTAAAAATAAAATAAAACAAACACAGCTGTATATAAACTCCCTTCTTCCAAAAGCAACTTTTCCCAGAAGAATGGGATGATCAAAATTTTGCAAATAACTCCCACAGAGTAATCGGCAGTACCTCTGACATTAACGTATCCTACTATGGACGTACAGGGCAGAAAGAAACTATGCAGGGTGACAGGAGACAGCCTGAAAATAATGGAGAGTTTTCAGTAACTAAATCTTCTTACCAAAATGAGCAGTTTAGAACAGAATGAAAGAGGGCATAAAGAAGATGCTATCTGCTCCTAACTTCAGTCTGTTAGATCTGAGAATGCAGGGACCTATTTAAGGAGAAGGCAGAATTTATTTGACACAAGGGCTAGAGGCAAGTTGATTCCTGAGCAAGGGCAGAATTGTAGGGAAGGACTGCAGATCTAACTGGATAAATGATCATTTTTTTGAAATCAAGAAGAAAGTTTTCAATAAGTTAAAAAAGTCAATATATTATAAAGCTACATTTTGGAGGTCAGAAAGAAAAGGCTAAAGGAAAAATCACTTGAGAGAAGTAAAAATACCTTGAGAGAAAACACGTCAAAAAGGAGTTAGTACTACTACAGTGACCTTGAGATGAGGCTCAAATATAATTATAGTACTACTCCAAAACAAAATGAATAATTTGTGTTTTCAATAAAAATGATGCAGAGAATGTGATCAGAAGGCAGAATAAGAGTAAGAAAGCACAAATTACAGTGTATGAGACACAGAATTAGGTATTTAAAATTAAGAAATTGCCTAGGGCATAGAAGAGGGATGAGAAGCAAACCCCCAAGTTGATAAAGCACTGCCATCAAAAAATGCTCATGAACTTGTGCATAAGGCTGCCAGTATCATAGGAACGTTTTAATACATCAAGGGAGAGTATTGCATGGCTGAAACCTGTCAAAGCAAACGGAGTCACTGTATTGAAAAATAAGAAGGATGCACAGTCCTGACACCTGGAGATCCATGAGAGACTCAAGAGCAAAACAGGCAAGATAACAAACTTTGAAAAACAAGCTAACAAACTAATCCTTATAAAAGGCAAATGAAACAAAAAAATCAGTAAGATACCTGACACTAAACTGACCTAGTACTTTCTTTGACAAATGTTTTTTCTAGGCAAAAGAAACAGCAGTCTCACCTCTCTGGACTTCTACAATGCATCTAGTACAACCTGTGAAATTATTGTGAGTTTGGGGAAAATGGCCTAGTGCAAGAAAGGTAGGGTGAGCAAGAAGAGATGTTGCATTGACAGGGATAATATTTGTCCAGAGGGAACCAATTAGCAAAGACACTCAAAGATCATTTTGCTTAAATGTTTTCAGTTGTGACATCAGCATTAACTGGAGAAACACCTACAGCTGACTATGTGATGTCTTTCATATGATGAGAGACTTCAGAGAAGTGACAGGGTCAGATGTCACTCAAGAGCTGAATGGTCTTCTGGATAGGAGTAAAAAAAGATTCAAGGTAACAAATGAAGAATAACAAAACAGCAACAAAAAAGATCAAAGAAGCTCTGGAAAAGATCAGTGGACTTTCTTCCAGGGAGAATGGGAGGTATTATTGTCATCAAACAAAGCACAAGAGAAACTCCATCTGGAATAAAGTATAGAGTTCTGGTTAAGTGAATTCAAGAAAGATGAATCAAAGCTGGAATGGCTATATAAAAGCATTATTAAAATGAACACAGAAAGAAAGCCTGCCTTCTGAAAGGAAATTAAACAGTTGGCTTGGGAAAAACAAAAGCCAAAGGGGAATAAGACTTTAAATACATCCAAGCTATGTAAAATAATGGATGATGCTGGCACAAGAACAGAGAGGTATAAACAGAACATAAAACGTTTAAAACTGGAAATCAGATGTTTTTTACCCATCTGAGGAATGATGTTCTGGAGAAGTCCTTCAATATAAGGTGGGACAAGAAATTAGTTTTAAAACAAACCTTGACATTTATGATGTCTGCTGGAACTGCCTCGATGGTTCAAGAGGGTTGTTTTTTCCCCAAGGATTGTCCCTAAATAATGCCAGAAACCATTAGAAGAAAACTGAAAACAATTTTCTGCATTCACATTTCCTAGCAAGTACTTCTTGCAAGCTTATATTTTCTTTTAGACTATATGGAGCAATTAAGCATCTGATAAAATATTTAGAAGCACTAAGTACCCAGCATTTCCATTCACTGTAATATAAACATTTATGAAAATGAAGCCACAAAAGAACTGAAACTTGAGCTAAACAGCAGTTCAATAAAGGCTTGGCTTTCAAAGATATTAGCAGATTACTGTTTCCAAAATGCAGCTGAATCTTTTAAAATCAGGCTACTTGCATTTTAGTATGTATTCAGTATGTATTCAGACAATCCTGATATCAAAAAAGCCTGAAAGTTTCCTGGTATTTTTAAATTGATTATGATTTTGTTAGCAGTGTTGTCAGTTATGTTCTATTAACATATGATTTTTACACAGTATTAATATCTCAGGTATGATTTTTCCCACAAAGTGTCTGCTTCCCACAGTGTTTACAACAGTGTAACATGAGATACCTAGCTTCTCAGTTATCTGGCTTTCTTAAGTAGTATTAGAATCATCTTAATACAACTGTCCTGTATCACAAATTAGTATAACGATTCATCTTTACTGTAACATTTTTGAGCTTACAAGACTAATTTTCACTTTACATTATATTTTAAGATTTGAGACATCTAATATAAACTACAGCCAGATCCTGCAATCAGATTCATTTATACAAAACTTCCAGTTGTACAAAATCCCTGTTGGCTTTAATGGGTCTCTCAGCAGGTATAAGATTTAATTTGATGTTTAAAGTTGCAACATGTCTAAAATTTACAGGCAATATCTTTTAGAAAGAAGAATTTGGTCAAAAGGAAGAATTTTTGTAAACTAAATGTGACATGTGGTTACTCTACGTATTCTGTAAGTCTACACAACTTCCCAACTGCTTGTCTTCCTCTGCATCTTCATTACTTATTCCTTTATTTCTATGGAATTTTTCCTAGAAAAGCAAGAGAGTTGGGTTTCCAATTTAGAGTTCGGTACTTTTCAAACAGCCGCACCACATCACATGAAAACATCAGTCTACTAACAAAATGAACTGTTTCTGGAGCGTCTATGGAAAGAAGTTCAGCAGAAAAGGCTGCACGAGTCACGCTTTTCTCACTCTTAACCCCCAGGTGACTTTAAAGGCCTCCAGAGAGCACGTCTGAGACTCAGTAAAGGGACAAGAGCATGGTAGGGCAGGGCGGGACAGCAATGCCCCAGACACGGCGTCCCCGGGGGGACCCCAACTCACGTTCTTCGTCTCGTTGACTTCGTTCCTACCCCTGCCTATGACCTCGCCGTCGTACACCAGCAGGCAGCCCACGGGAACCTCCCCTTTCTCCAGCGCCTCTTTAGCCTGCGGGACAGACAGACAGACAGACAGACACGAGGGGGGCACGGGATCGCGTTACCGCGGCGGGGGGCACGGACGGGCTTTCGCCGGCCCCCGCTCTCGCGCCCCCTCCCCGCTGCCCGGACAGAGGGAGCCCCCGCCCGCACTGACCACGTCGAGCGCCTGTCCACCAGGGCCGCGCGGCCGCCTCCTCCTCTCCCTGTCCCTGCCCCAGTCCCTGCCCCGGTCGCCTCCTCCCGCCATGCCGGGCCCCGGGCGGTGTTTTCCGGGCACCGCAGGCGGTGCCGCTGCCGCCACCGCCCCCTTCCGCGCGCCGCGGGAGCCGACGGGCGGCCGGGCCGGGCGCGCAGGATGCTCCGGTCCCTCTGTAGTTTCCTGAAGCGGCACAAGAAGAAATGCCCTCGTCCTCGGCACCTTCCTCGGCGGTGAGTGCCCGGCAGCCGGGCCGAGGGGCGGCGGCGATTAATGCGTGCGGGGGGGAGGCGGGTGCGGGGCTGGCCTTGGGGCGTGGGGCCTCCCCGCTGAGCGCTCCCGGATCCCGCCGGGGAGGCCCACTCGGAGCCTGCGCTGGGCCCGGCGAGCCCCCCGTGGCCAGGCGGGTTCCCCGCTGGCTGGAAAGGCTCTGTGTCCCCGGGCCACGGGAGCAGGGAGCTCCGGGGGGCGCTGTGACACAGAAACGCTCCCACCGACAGCCGTGGGGAGAGCCCAGGGGGGAGCAGGACTTTCCCACCAGGTAGAGAGGAGAATCAGCACGTCATCACTTAAGCCCCAAAAGACGGGGCTCGGGCTGCCTGGGCGCTCTTACGGCGGGTGATCGCTTACTGTGTTACTTGTGCTTTTAGGATGAAGGCTGAAAGCCTCAACTTTCATATGTGACTTGTGCGTTGAGATGAATTGTTAAAATGTCACAGATTCACAGAATCGATTAGGTTGGAAAAGACCTCTTGACACCACCATGTCAACTAGACCATGGCACTCAGTGCCATATCCAGTCTTTCCTTAAACACCTCCAGTGACAGTGACTCCACCACCTCCCTGGGCAGGCCGTTCCGATGTCTAACCACTCTTTCTGTGAAGAAATTCCTCCTAGTGTCTAACCTAGACCTCCCCGGCACAGCTCATGACCATGTCCTCTTGTCTTATTGCTGGTTGCTTGGGAGAAGAGGCCGATTCCCATCTGGCTACAACCTCCTTTCAGGTAGTTGTAGAGAGTGATAAGGTCTTCCCTGAGCCTCCTCTTCTTAGGCTAAACAACCCCAGCTCCCTCAACTGCTCCTTGTGGAACATACACTCCAAACCCTTCATCAACTTTGTTGCCCCTCTCTGGACAAGTGTAGACTGGCTGCAAACACAAAACTTTCATGGAGAGGATTTGTGTTAATTTTTCAAGCAGTTTCTTCTCCCTTAAGGCTTTTGTCTAACCCATAGTGTCGTCCTGATCTAGTAAGCTTCACCTTTCCTTGGAGTTATTATGGGATTGGTTTTAGTTGGATTTAAAAGAGCACATTGGGTCTTTCTGTTAATGATAAAGTGCATAGCTGTACAGCTGGAGATTAGATGCTTCTCAAAAGGTACAGCCATGTCTTCGCTCACTCAGTCATCAGATGTACTTGTATCTGACATAAATGACACAGAATTACATTTTACAGAGATGCTAAGGAAAGTTTGTGTTTGTTTATACCCACTAGAACTTGCCTGAACAGTTAAATATTCTGAGAGCTGTGGGGTTTTTGTAATATGTTTTGTCATATATTCAGGTGATGTCTGGCTTGCCTTGGTTCTTGTGTCCTCTGCATCCTTTCATCATTAATTCCTTCTGTGTTTTTCCAAAGACTGCCAATTAATACATGATAATAGGTTAGATGATAATAGGTTAGATGATGGTTACTACAGTACTGGTCAGACTGCTTCTCCAGTTCACCTCATCACCTGTAGGTTTTGTGACTCCTCAAGTGCAGCACAGTGTCATGTTTACCACTGCACTTACAGCCCACCATGTTAGTAAACAGATTTACTTAAATACACCCGGCTGTAACCCAAAACCTGTTCCCCCTGTCTTTAACTGTCTGCGTGAGAGTGGTGGGTGGACAAATGGGAGTAGTAAAAACATCAGTTGTCCCAGTTTCAATTAGTAAACGTGGATTAATGTCCAAGGGGTAAAGCAGGTATCGGGGAGCTTGTGGCTCTTAGTAGTCCTGAAAATAGTAGCCTGAAATCCTAAATTCCTCCTGTATAAACAGCCTTCTGCCAGCCTGCAAAACAACCTAAAATCCCTGAATTTGCAGCTTTTTCCTAATGTTTGGTGTTGTTTATGTACAGTTCAGTGTCACTTTCACTAAAGTGCTGCTGATTGAAGTGCACTTAAAAAATAATAATAATCATGGACTAAAATAAAGTCACTTAAAGAATGACCAATCCATAAACCCCCAAGATGCTCCTCCCCTAACAAGCATTTCAGCTTCTGACTGAAAATAATGAACTATGCTGTCATTTTCTGCAGCATGGATCAAGTACCTATTTCCTCAGGCCATGTAGTATTTGAGGACTCTGTAGAGAATTGCTTTTCTTGTATTTGAGACTGAAGTAAATCGGGGCTTCTGCAAGCAGGTGAACATCATTAGCTGCCAGCAGCTGCAACTTGCACCATGGTATATTAAAGGCATCCTGGGAGATGGAGTGATGTCCTGTGGAGTGCTGCGTTACAGTTGCTCAGCAGCTGAATCTAGAGTGCTTTGGCCACCTACCTATTAGTTATGGATCAGACCTTAAAATAACTCCAGGAGCTATGGTAATGTCACCACCAATAGTCAGAACTCTGAGATCTGCAGTGGACTCTCCTCCAGAAAATATTGCCAAATCTTGAAAGGTAGAATGCAACTTTACATGCTGCTTTGACTTGAGGACAGAATACTGGCAAGTGGCTCACTGGTTTAAGAAAAGCATCCAGATCTGCTGATTTAATACCAGAGCCTGGAATCTACAGCTGTCTGGTGTTTGGGTTTTTTTGAGAGCTGCAAGGTGCATTATCTGGGAAGGAGGATGTAACAAGGAAAATGGGACATCAGAAGATTTAATGATTTTAAGTCCTTAGCTGGCACAGGGTCAGAGATTAATGTGAATATTTAATGATTCATTGGACACTACAGCAGTCTCTGTTATTACTGATACAGGGTTGTATCAGTGTTGTATTACTGAAGCATTGTTGCACCAAAGTCTGAGTTGTTTGGAAGCTTTTCCTCTTTTTACCGAGGTGAATTCCTTATGTGTTATCAGTGGCTGTCATTCTTAGTGTAATCCCAACACAACAACTACAACTGTCAATCCCAACACTACAACAGATTTTTCTGCTTATGAAGATGCAAACCTCACAAAATAAGAGCTCAAATTGAGGGGAAAAGCAACTGAAAAATAGGTGTAACTTTTCCTTCATCATAGAGTGGGGTTGAAAAGACCTCAACTTAGCAAAGACTCTGTACAAACCCTTTCTTCAGAAGTTCTTCTTTTAACAATATAAAATAAATTGCACACTAAAAAGACTTTTATCTCTTCAGTCAAGCGAAATCTAGTGGTCTGGGATCAAACCCACTAGAAATATGTAAAGTAGAGAGTGAGTGAGCTAGCATGATGGAGCCGCAAGGACACATTCGTTACAGTAGTTCTTGTTGGATGGGTAGGTTAAAGTAGTTCTTATCTTGGTGCTCAGAATTCAAGGTAGATTTCAGTGGATATTACAAAACGATTCACCATTGAAATTCTATTGCTGTAGTAGAAGAACAAGTTCAGGGTGTGTCTGCAACGTATGGTTCAGATTTCAGTGGTGAATTAATTATCGCTGAATTTCATGTGTTGCAACCTTTGGGTTGCAGAAAGAGCATTTCAGTTCAGAAGTCTGTCTGCTTAGCAGAGAAAGTTGGCTTGGTTTGTGAGTGAGTACAGGGGCATTAAATATGTTTTGGTGGGACTCAGTGCTGCCAAGAGAATAAAGCTTTAGTGTCTGCATATTTTAAAGATGGTTTTCAACCATAAGGGGACAGTTGTATGTCAGTTGATTCACAGCTTCCTTGAACATAAGGATAAACCACAACTTATGGAGCTGTTCGTGTCCTGGAAGGATGCAGGGTTACATATATCAGCACAATTTCTACATAATAAAATTCTTAAAACTGAAAATTTCCCCTTTTTTTTTTTCTGAGGTAAATATGGTGGTGAGGGCAAAGGTTACATAGGGTTGTAAATAGGTTTCCTGAACATTCGATGCCTCCTGGTTACCTTCCCACCCTTCTGCTGTGAAGAAAGGAAAGGGCTGAGGGGGAGGGAAGTCATAACTTAGGTGATGTGAGAAATATCTTTGAGGCTACTAGCAGAAACATGTAAGAACCTGCAGATTTTGTAAACTACTTGCGTTACTTACATTTAGATGGGAAGAGACTATATAGTGCTACAGCCAGAGAGGGCTACAGAGACAAATTAGGCCACGTTTATCTAAGTGTTGCTTCCACAGGGTATAGGTACTGTAGACCCCAGGGTACTCCCAGTGTTGTAGGACAGTGTTGTGGTTTAACCCCAGCTGGCAACTAAAGCACCACAGAGCCACTTGCTCACCCCCTCCGCAACCTTCCCAGTGGGATGAGGGAGAGAATCAGAGCTGACCGATGCCCAGCAGTCCCTGGGCAGTGCCTTCCCCCTTAGCCTTCCCCTTGTTTTATTGCTGAACAGGACATCCTGTGATGTAGGGTATCCCTTTGGTCTGCTAGGATCAGTTGTGTCCCTCCCAACTCCTTGTGCACCCCCAGCCTGCGCCCTCGTGGGGTGGTGTGAGAGGCAGAAAAGGCCTTGGCACTGTGGAAGCACTACTCATCAATAAGGGAAACGTTCTCTATTATCAACAGTGTTCCCAGCACAAATCCAAAACACAGCCCTGTACCAGCTGCTACGGGGAAAATTAATTCCATCCTAATCAAATCCAACACAAACAGCCAGTACAAATGTAAATAAATTTCACTTTGTAGATCAGTTTTAAAGCAGTATAAATTGTAGTTTGAGATCCTTACTGAGGTTCCTGTACTTAACATCAGGTGATATAATCCTAGTTTGTACCACTCATCTGTTTCTGAACTCTCCAAATTAGAAGCATTGGGACTATAGTCTTTTGTGTAGTTCCCATTTTGATGAAGGTAGAAAACGGTTTACGGAGGAATGATCTTTGGGCGGTCTTGT